CGCCCATTGACAGCTGGAGATAGGCACCAGCACCCCTCGCGACCCCAATTGGGACAACCGTGTCAGATAATAAGTGGAGGGATGGAATATAAAGAACTACACATATCTGCATATGTGTACATGCTTCACAACTTAAACTCGGGGTTCAAGTCTTCTGTGGTTCAGAATAGCAATTTTATCAACCCAGATTAGTCTGAAAGAAGGTTAAGCTAGTCCTTCATACCAAGGTTATGATAGTTTTTAAGTCATTAGAGAAATTCTGAGTCCACATCATTGTTCTGAAAACTGGATACTTCTTATATATTTATGAAATGGAAAGAGTAAAAGTTGCTTGGGGAATGGGTATCTCAGAAGGAAAATCTTTACATAAAAGAGGGAGAACAGAAAAGAGAGTGCCAAAAAGCTGAACAAAGGTGACAAAAGTATGGACTCCAGGTTAACTATGAAATATATAAAGAAAATCTTCACAATCATCTGTCGTTCTCTGAGACTATCTAAAACATCAACAATGCTTGTGCATTATTTGCTACAGTTGACAATTTAACAAACCCTCCTATCCCTGCAGCCAATGAACTCCAATCTAAAAAGGCCTGAAATAATTTTGCAAAGTCTGTACATCATCTTCAACTTCAGTACTAATACTCTCCCTAGTCAGAATAAACTTTGTCAAAATGTCCCAATTCTGCCAAATAAACTGCAAAAGAACATTTTTTTTTATTTAAGCTCCTTTTTCTGCTGTCTTGTTTTATCCACAGGTAAATAACTTTTTTTTTTCTGTATTACAGTCTGATTCGATAGAAATCATAAACACATCACTCATGTCGGGTGTTTTCCCCCAGACCTTAAAAACAGCAATTATAAAAACCACTGTTGAAAAAGATGCATAGACAAACAAATCCTGCAGAACTACAGTCCCATCTCAACAACCCCCAAAATCAATTTGTCTAGAGCTGCCTTTAAATTTTAAAGTTTAATTATTAACTGCATCATCAGTAGTTTAAAGGCAAAGCAAAGTTTTGTTTGTGTAACAGAAATCAATACATGGACAATTCAAAGGGCTTTAGATGGATTAACAATTAAATAGAAGAAAAATAAAATCAGGATAAATTTTGAACAGTAGTATCAAAGATATGCTTGACAAAAGGCATGTGTCATTGTATTATATTTATTCTGCATCATGTCAACCACGACTGCAAAAAATTCCAGATCTCTAGATATTACAGTGCCAGAGCTATGTGACTTTTAACTACTGGTGTCACCAGTGTCTCTGAACCTCTCCAACTGTGCTAAATTATTCCAAATTGTGCTTATTGCTTTTAAACAACAGTTTTACCCAAAAAATCACACCGAAGCATTTTGATGGCCACAAAACATTTTGACGCAAATATTTCCAAAGGCAGGTCTCACCCCTTCTTTTTTCCAAGCTTAAGTCCTATAACAGAGGCCTGGGAGCTTCAGAGTTCTGCACAGTATCTTTGCTGTTCCTAGAACTGCACTTTTCTGGACCGAGATGTCTGATGTCTTTCCAGGGATCTGCTATAACCACTCCTCAAGTTTAGGGGTCACTGTCCCGAAGTGTCCCAATGACCACAGGTACCACTGATGCCTTGACCTTCCAGGTTTTCTCCAGCTCTTCTCTGAGCCCCTGGTATTTCTCTAGTTTCTCATATTCCTTTTTCCTGATGTTGCAGGCACTTGGTATTGCTATATCAACCAAAACGCCGTTTCTCTGCTTTTTGTCCACCACCGCAATGTCCGGTTGGTTTGCCATTACCATTCGGCAGAAATGCTCATCCAAAGGAAGACAGAATGCAGTTTGAATCAGAGGATGCCTTAATGAACTATTAGTTGCCAAATGTGCTCATACTGTATGATGTTGTTTTTTGTACAAGATCAGGCATATTAAAGTTGAACATTGACTTTGCAAAAGGACAAAACAGCATCATAAAATCATGACATAAAAGCTTGGTAAAACAAATGTGTTAAAAAGCCACATCTTATTAGTTTAACAGAGTTAATTTTGTAAGCTGCAATACATAATGATCACTTATATGAATTTGACCTCATAAGTCCATTGAAACCTAACCTGGTAATATATTTAACGCTGCTATTTAATGTTGTTTAACATCATTATGATCAATCAGGTGGAAGTGTGGCCTTTTTTACCTGCCATAAAATCCCATTCTGGGACAAGATCAAACTTCACCTCAAAGATTTCCTTAAAGTTGATGTATAAACTTGAAACCACATTGAATCCATCCCCAAGCTTTAATTTCCAACTCACACAAACAAAACGCCTGCTCTAACGAAAAAATAAGAAAATAAAACATCCAAACTACTGGAGAACTGTTTTGTGTGGCCTCGGCATGTGTTTTAAATCCTCTGTGTGGTGTGCTAAATCAATAACAGACCCAACACAACTGACTCTTACTAGTTTCCATGTGGTCTGTTGTAATTAGTCCTATTCTGGACCTTTCTCTTGCTGCATTTCCAAGCCTTAAAGTGTGGCTTAATGAAATTGTTGATTAGTTTAATGTTATCCTGCCTTTCGTTGAATTCTGAGGGACAGTTAGGCCCCAACAATGAGTTATGCTTTTAGTGTATGTGTAGATAATTTAAAACATATTCTTTCTTTCTTTCTTTCTTTCTTTCTTTCTTTCTTTCTTTC